CTCTCTCTCTCTCTTTCTTTCTTTCTTTCTTTCTTTCTTTCTTTCTTTCTTTCTTTCTTTCTTTCTTTCTTTCTTTCTTCCTTTCTTCCTTTCTTTCCTCCTTTCTTTCTTTCTTTTTCTAAGAGAAGTTTTTGCTATAGGGCATGTGCCAGAGAGACAGAAAGTAAGAAATCACCCTCCGGGGGGATGGCCAGGCCGCAATCCCTTCTCCATTCTCCCCTTGGGATCTTGGGCTCGCACACACATGCAGCTTGAATTTAAGCTGCCAGGTCCAGGACACAAACCAGTCACCTACGTGAGAGTCCAGTGATGTAACTGTTCCACCATCTGCTGGTCCCAGGCTGGGTATGTTTCAAAGATACCCCCAGTGTAGCCTGCGGAGAGTTCACATGAAGGGGTCCCGGGAGGAACTGACTGCAGCTTGAGAGAGGAGTCGGGGGAGGAGCAGAGTGACGTGGGGGAAGGTGGCGGGAGCCCAAGGGGACAGAGGCAGAGAGAAGTGGGGACGTGGTGGAGTCGGCCTCCGCCCCCTGTACTTTGAGAGCAAATCCGATCTGCTCTAGATAGGAGTGTTCAAGCTTGGGGGATGCTTCCGGGGGGAGGGGCAGGGTGTCCCCCAACATGGGCTGGGACAGTTGCCCCATGCAAGGCAGGCTGATGGCTTAGGAGAGATGTGAGTTCATCTCCCCTTGGGGAGTGATCAGAAAATCAGAGAAGGAGGTGAAGGCGGAGGCGCAGTGACCACTGGGCCCATGTGGGCAAGGTCTAGGGTTCAGGTCCTGGGACCTCACTCTGAGAGTGGGAGTGGATTGTGGTGTGAGGACCCGGTCGTGGGTGCCTGTCTCTCCATCTCTCTCATGGAAGAGAGGAAATGAATACATTTTTAAAAGTCAATGAAGGGGAGCAGAGGACTCCCCAGCACAGGGCTGGGGCCCCGGATGCCGAAGGATTTGGAGACAGCTCTCTGAGTGGGCTTTCAGGGGTCTCGTTTCCCTGTGGCTCTGGGGTGTCCCCCTTTTGCTGAGGGATTCTGGGATGCTTTGGTTCCAAGGATGCCATGGGACCACCCAGGCCTGGTTTCCTTCTGCCAGTTGAAGAGGGCGGAGGCTGTGCAGGGCCTTCTGTCTCTCCAGCATCCTTGATAACATGCTTGGAGCTGCCACCAGAGGGCGCCCGCCACCAGCTCTCCAGCCAGCGGACCTCTGGTGCTTCCCTCTGGTCTTTGAGAAAGGACTGGGGAAGGTTCAGCCCTGAAATTGCCCCGACCCCGTGGAGGGCTGGTGTCTGACAATGGCCGGGTTTGGAATCTTTGCCTATTTCCTCCATGGCGGATTTCAGCCACCAGCGCTTACGTGGTAGATGGAACTATTTACAGTGGATGTACAATGCTACGTCCATTATCTGTCTTCAAGAGCAGAGATAATAGGAGAATTTGGGGCCAGCAGGTGGTGTGGTGGTTAAGGTGTTAGTCTAC